ACTCATTTATGAGGAAAATTTTGATTATTACAGACTTCCAATTTCTCTCAGGTTTAACCAGAGATTAAAAATTGGGGATTTGGCAACAATTCTGAAAGTGTTTTTCCATCCTCCCAATTTGAGGCTTTAAACTTTAATCCTGGAATTACCTTTGATGTCACTTTTTCTAACACTGTTGTTCAACTGATAAGGCAACTGAGTCTAGGGGAGTTACCTACATTCTTTATATTAAAAAAGCTAGTCAGTTAGCAGTTCATCCCACTCAAACCTGACTCTCATGCTTAGCTTTTCCAGCTTCTTAAAAATCTTAAATGTTTGTTTTTTCCATTCCTAGGAGTTGCTTTCACTTTGCACTTCACCAGAGGTTTATGACTCATTCAAAATCAAAGCTCAAAATTCCCAGAGTAGGACTGCAGTTATAAGTAATAAAGAATGAGTTCCAAACATGTAGACCTCCAAGAAGAGAACTATGCACATATTGAACTATGCATATACATTTATAAACTGAACATTTCTTTCTATTTGTGGGGCGAGTCCTTGACCTTGGAAACAATGCTCCTAGCCTTTTTTTGATTTAGTTATTTTTGAATAGAGTCTCGTGCTTTTTCCCAAGTCAGGGCATGGACCACAATCCTGCTACTATTGCCTCTGCCTTGCTGGGATCACAGGCCTGAAGTTCCATGATTGGCTTATTTGTTGAGATGAGGTCTTTTTAACTTTTGCCCAGACTGGCCTCAAACTGCAGTTCTCTTGGGCTCCACCTCTCACATGGCTGGGATTACAGACATAATCCACCATGCCTAGCATAAACTGAGAATTTCAATCTGGAGGACTCATCAGTTGGCAGGTTTTTCATTAAACCCATATCATGTCTTAACTCACGAGGAAGGATCTTCCTTATCTGTATTCTTTCTTCTAGGTAAATTATCAGGTGATATGAAATGTTTTAGAGAAAGATACAATATAAATGTTTAACCACTTCCTTAGAATGAATTTTTGGCTGACTTTGCTATTAAAATTCGTTTGTCTAACATAAACACAGAGCATTAAGATTCAGTAAGAATTTCTAAGTTAGAATTACTTTGGTACATTTAATTCTTTTAAGAATGTATGAATATAAGAAAAACCAATAGTTATAAAAATTGAAGTTCCATTCCTGCTGCTAACTGAATAACAATATAAATCATTCACTTAATATTTACTTCTCAACTTCCAACCTTTCTATTTTAGGCTTACTCATCTGTCCTATTTTATTTGTTAAACCAATATTGGATCTTGCACTGTTTCCCTATTCCCATAACTATAATCACTTCAAGCATTTTCTCCTAAAATATTTTAACAGTCTCTAAATTGGTTGCCCTTCCAGGGGCTTTCATTTTCCATGCTGTTGTCAAATCTAATAACAGCACTCTATCAACTAAACACCATCAATGGCTCCCTATGACCTAAAAGATAAATTCCAAATTATGTAATGTACAAGTCTTGTCAAAATCTGGCCCCAGTTTGTTCTTGTTCATCGAGTGCCATTATCTGCCTCTTATATGACTTTCAGTAATAGCCAACTTATATAAAAACCAAACTGTTTCAAGATTTTTTTATGTTGTTGCATGTGCTATTCCTTCTGTGTGAAGAATTCCTGACACACTTTCCCTGTATAAAGAGTTTTACTGAATCTCTCAGACTGCTCAAAGTTCTCCTCACTTCAGCAGAGGCATTTTCACAATATTTGCACATACTTCTAAACCCTAATCTATTTCATGTTGTTACCTGAATGTCAATTTTTCCCAGTAAACTTTATTTTGAAGACAGGGACATGTTAATCTATAAAGAGTTATAAAACTCCAAAGCCTAGTATAAAGCATGGCACAGAAAGACTGCTCAGTAAATGTTGGATGAATGGATGGATGAATGAATGAGTGGGTAGAGCTAAAGCAAAGAAATCTGAAAAAATTTTAAAGTTGAACCAATGAAGATATAATTTAAAATAAACTGTCTGCCATAATAATACAATGGAATCCGTAATATTTTATCATACTGTTGCATTATTAACATTATACCATACTTGTTATTATTTTTTCTAAACCCAATATATGGATTAAGGAGAGGTTGATGTGACTAAGTATACTTCCATGTTCCAAAACTAGCAAAGTGTCTGATGTATCTTGGATTTTTATGCTTAATTTTTCAATGTTGTATTTGGACTTAGTAAGAAGGTGAATTAGGATAAAGGAGGTAGCAGAGAAATAGGGATAGAAATTCACAAGCTCAGTGCAAGGCACATGTACTTTGGATGTAATCTCATTGTTTTGTTTAAGGCATAGAACTTCAGAGATTCTTGCATTGGACAAATTATAATAAAATAATGTTTCATAGATGAAATTACCATACAGTTTAAATAAGCAGATTTTGGTGGGAGGAACATCATTTTTACCCATAGAGTTTTATTCGGGGGTTAACTTTTCCTCACTATTAATACTAGACTTATGAAAAGAGATATGTTTTTGAAACTTCACAGACACTCTTCATATTCTCAAATTACTTTGCCATGATTGGAAAGTCCTGTCCTATGATAAGACTGGGTTACAATTTTGACAAATAAAATAAATGAGAGCAATGACAGTGGTCTGGTTAAAAGAAGTTAGTTACCAAAGTAACTTAAATGTTATTGATACAAAAGTGCCATATCCATTGTAGGTGGAGCTGGCATAATTCAGGCTAGCTGTGATTAGCACCTTATTAGTCACCACCAGGTAATTTTTGGCTTCCGCTCAGGTATTGGCACATGCATGATAAGGCACTTATTGAATTTTTTCATCAGTCTTTCTGTGCAATCCTTCAGGAGAAAATATTTCTGAAGGTAGCTACTCTTACATTTTCCTTTCCTCCCCACTTGTTCCTCAAGATTTTTTCAAAATCAAATGTAAAATATTTTAATGTCTTTCCAGTATCATTCAGTTGAATATTTTATTTTTAATAAAGAATACCATTCCCCTGCCATATGTGTTCCTCTACCTAAAGTCACCATCAGTACCATGATTCAAAGATATTTTGTTCATGTGCATTTCAATGTGCTTTTTCAATTCATTAGTCACTCACATATTTGATAAATTATGAAAATAACCAGTGGATAGAGTCAATAGCTTCTAAAAAGGCTAACATTTTTACCTATGAGCTTTGATACTAAAACACCAAGATTCTAATTAAAAATACACAATATTTTATACTATAACATATTTTAATATTTATTTATCTACAATTTGTATAAACTTTACTGTACATTAACATTTTAGCACAAATTGATATATTCATAACCATCTAATGCAATTTATGGGTGCTAAAAGTAGACATGGTTACTTAGGGAAAATACTAATCTGCAAGATAAAATTATGAATTATATCATCCAAGAATGATGCAGAACATTTCATCATTGATCCTTTTGTAGGAGATATAACTAAATGTGATTTTGATTTGTCAATATGTCTTTCGCTATAATTAAAATCCAAAAGCTATCTTTAAATAATTCTTCACTCAAATTGCATTCTGATGAGTTTTTTTATCTCCATAATCAGAATGTCAACACTTAAATAAGTGTATTCAAATACACTGACTATACCTCAGTCTTCTTACCCTTAAAAAGGATTTCTAAAAGCTTTCTGAGAGCATCATTGTAAGAAGAATGTTTAAACATCAAATGAGAGGATCTTAGGCAAAATTATGAAGTGGTGTGACTTCAGTGCATTTTAAAGCTATAGTATTATTATTATTTTGTGGTGCCAGGGATTGAACCCAGGGTCTTGATCATGATAAGCAAGTAATCTACCATTGAGCTCACATCCCTAGACCTTTTAGTGCATTTTATATCACTTAAAAAAAAAAAAAACTCAGTGGTTTCATGCGTCTCAGGACTCCATGTAGGAACACATTTTCAGGTCTCATCTACCACTTAACAATAATCTTCCCTTCTTTCCCATTTCTCCTTGATCCTTTCCCCAGGAGTTCTATCTTAAGGTTAAAGCCAGAGAAGAAAGCTGTATGATAAATCTGAATCTGCTAATAGCTATGCTTTATTTGCAAACTGTGAAGTCAAAACACCTGATAAACAATAGAATATTAGATTATGAAAGATCAATAGAAACTCATTTATCTTCTTTATTCAGTGAAAAATCTAATCATTAAAAAAGATATCTGCATGGTATGAACCTGATGGTTCAATCATTTTTAGTTTCTTTATATTCATATCACATAACCTGCACTTTACTTCTTCATTATATGATTATCCATTACTCTTTTTAATTCCTTCATCTTCATTTATTTTTCTCTAATAAACCTTCTCCTTACCTGTAATCCTTGCATTATAATATTTAATCCTTTTTTATTCATTTGATGCTTATAGTTTTTTTAATCTACTGAGTTACAAATGTAGAAAAATAAAGTAGCAATATTCACATATTCATATTCATTCACATTTACATCATGTCCTGAATGCTACTCTGATTTGAAAGCTGTTTTTCTTGTTAATTTTTATTATTACTGTTGAATAGATAATGATAAATTTAGCCATGTGCCTAGCTTAACTTAAACTTTTTACAAATTTTACTTCACTGTCTGTAAAAACTATACTTTGACTCCACTTTTTAAAGGAAAACACAAACCCTAACAGATTGCAATAATAGCTTCATGTTACAAGTAAATATCCTTCTCTCTGAATTCAATTAGCATATATGCATGTATTAATTTATAAAATTGATTCACTGAAAAATTGTTTAGAAAGATGTAATAAATTCTGACAGTATAGAAATTATTTATGCATGATCTATATAACTGCTAAGCAAATTCATACAATTTTAATTTACAAATGTTATAGAATACAATAATGTTATATTAATGTGAAATTAATAAATGTATGTGATGAGAGAAAGCATATAAAATAAACATATATATTTTAATGAATATTTTAAGTCCTGGTAAAATAGTGTCTTGTTTTTTTCTAACAGACTAACCTTTATGTCTATGGGTTCCATCCATGTTGCTAAATTCAATGTGATTTTCATCAGCCCAGTAGAGTCTATGGTTGACATAATCTATTGTTAATGCCATAGGTCTAGAAATCTTGGTTTCTATGACAACACTCTGATTGGTTCCATCCATTCCGACACGGCCAATGTGAGGATATTCACAGCAGTCAATCCAATACAAATACCTAAGAAAGGAAATCAATAGTCATTTTGTTTACAGACACTCCAGGAGTAAAGCATCACACTATATTTCATTTTTTTGGTCAAATGTTCTCAAATTAATTCTCAATGTATTTCTACAATGTAATCTTTCTGAGGTATCCTTCAAAGCACATTTTTCTTATGAACTTTTTATTAAACATAGTATGGTTTGAAATATTCATTTAATTTTATGTTCTTATTAATATACAATACAATATATATAATTAGATTTTTTTAAAGTGTCACCAAATTATAGATATCCCAAACTATCTTATATAAACGTTCAAAAGGCATTTATATAGTTGGAAAATAAACTATCTTTCTATATTATATTTATGTCTATATCTATATTTATATATATATCTGCATTTATATCTATATCTATCTATCATCTACCCTTTTCTTTTGGTTTTTTAGCTATGAAAAATTTAAAAGTAATTATTCATGTTTAGACTTTATTTGTCTGAATAAGCATTGTCAGTGTGGCAGTCACTAATCATGACTAGTTAAATTTAAACTGAATTCAAATAAAAAAATGAGCTGTGCTATTTCTCACACTAGTCACATTTCAAATGTCCAACAGCCATTGAGTCACGGTGTATTATATATTATCATATATTGCAACAACATGGATGAAGAGCACTTCCATCAGAACAGGAAGTTCTACTGAATAGCACTGATGTAAAATATGTCATCAGAAGTTGTAGAGTAGGACATTTCAGACAATGGGTGGGAACACTAAAATGAAGATAGTAACATTGATACTATTGATACTATTATTCCATTTAAAGCATTAACTATGATTACTGTATCCCTTAAAATAAAAATAAGAGATAAAAAACACATTACTTACATCACTATATCAAATTCAGCATATTTTATTGAAATAGCAAAAGTCACTCTATCCTCTTATACGAGTGTCCTTAAAGACATCATTAGAAATTTTAGCTGGAGGATCTGTTATGTCCTATGTATACTTGACATTTATTAACCCAATTAAGGTTTTCTAGACTTCATTCTTTCTTTGGTAAGTATCATCCTTGGAAAGTATGTTTTGAGCTTTAGATTAATTAAATTAAGATAATATATAAAATTATTCTATATGAGTTAAAACTGGGAAATTTAAAATGTCCTTTAAAATAATTTAGTCTCATAAGTTTCCACAAAGATAATTATTTTAATATTTTGCTCACAAAAGTAGGAACTAAATAATGATGTTCAGGAAAAACTCATCATTTTATAGGGCTAACATAAATAATCATTGTACATAAAAAAAGCGTTTTTATATTGACATTTTTCTTGGTACACATAAAACCATGGTTTATAAAGATAATTTTAAAGTTCTTTGATAGCCAAATATCATTGAAGTTCCAATTAAGTATGGTGAATAATAAAGAGAAATATATCTTTGATAAGGTCTAAATAAAATGTAAAATTTTTTGAGTAGAGATTTAAAGAGAGCTCTTGTAAGTAAAAACTGATTCTGGAAACACCAAGTCAACTTCTCATAGGGCAACACTGGAATTGATACACAATGTTTCCATATACATATATTAATTCTGATTGCATTTTGAAAATTTCATGGAGTAATAATACATGCCAAGACCCTTAGAAAATGATGTTGTTTCTGTGAATCTTGGGTTACTTTTAGTACAGTTTTCTTTTGAAAAGCAAACATACATCAGTAAAACATATCTTTTAGAAAAACACTCATTCTATTGCTTTCTAATAAATTAATGGAGGAAAGCTTTGTTTTCTTTACTAGACATAACAACAACAAAGATACAGAATAAGAAACTGTATCAGAAAGAAGTCATAATGAAAAGTAATTTACATTGCTGAAATCATTAAGAACATTCCTCCTTGGCTTAATGACCCTGAATCTTGGGAAAGCTGATATATATTTTTCCCACTAAATATATGTGCTTATACTACCTTATTTCACACATATTCTATATGTTTAAATTTATTTGTGCTTTTCTACATTATTTTAAATAAATGCACATAAGCAAATAATCATGTTAAAGTAATATTTCAATGATTTCTGTGTCAAAATTGGTCTGCTTAGGGACAGTTTTCATATTTCTACTTAGATATGCATGCTACGTATGGTTGGAGTTAAAAATTAAAATGTCTCAAGAGTGAAAAGAGTTTTTGTTATTAAATGGACTCAACTAAAATGTGGGAAATTACTGGATGTGAAAATAATGTTTATTAAGTAAGTAAATTGTTAATTTTAAATGGTCTAAGTTCTGTATATCTACAACTCTAAACTTTCATCAGTGTTCTGAATATTTTCACCTCATTCATGAACCAAGAATAGAAAAGACATACTTCATTAAGTCCAACATCCATTATCTCACTCTTGATAAGTTTAGTAAGAGTTCCAAGTCTGAAATCCTCTGCCTGACACCCAATTCCTCCATTATGGATTGGACATGAATGTCCTTCCCCTCACTAATGAAATGTGTGAAATTCAGCTCTAGTTGGAGTTTTTAGTTATGATCTTACATTATCACCTCTATGGTTTTATCCTATCATTTGCTTGCTCAAGCTTCTTCAATTATAAAGGTATTTTCATGAAAACATAATTCACATTGACACCTTTTCTCCTCACAAATGATTTCCTGACTAGTGCCAGTGCACATTTTCAGCGTATGTTGGAAGGTCAACTACATTTGAGAAATACTATGTGAGACAAGGAAAGCCTCATCTTTTTTACAGTATGACTCTCCAGAACTTTTATATGCTAAATGACATTGTGATTTTCTAAGAGCTGCTCTAGTGTCTCTGTTATTATCAGTAGTTTGGGGCAATAATGTCTATTTTCTTTGAGCTGTTCACAGAATCACTGCACTAGGGAACAAATTTTGGGAAACTGATTTATACAATCTCTTTTCTTTATTCCAAGTATAGTTGAACCACACAAGATGGTATAGGTTCTCATGCCTCATAAGACTTATTGAGAATCTTACCCAGTAAGTCAATGGTAGAACATTTCTAATAAATCCTAAAACCATGCTTAAGCAGATGGAGAACCTTATTTTGAAACCATGATTCTCCAATGTTATATTAAATTGCAAATATCTCTAAGTACTGGGGATAAGCAGGTAAACAGATGCAATATTTTCCTTCTAAGAACTTTCAGTGAATTCCATAGAGGTGGATATAAAAGTGAAAAAAAATAGGTTGAGGTCTACACCGGTAGACTGAGAGATAAACTAACAGCATAAACGGTTATATGCTTATTGTATGATTCAATTGGAGCAGGATTCATATCTCTGTTGGGCTACAGATTACCTTCCTTTCTAATAAGCACTATGCAGACTTAAGCTAACAAACCCAGGAACCAGATTGCTCAACTTTAAGTCTCAGTTGTCCCATTACTAACTATGTGAACCCGAGAGCTCTCATTAGCTTCCCTGAGTCTGTTTTGCTCAAGTGCTAAAAGGACCAGTAATAGTTTCTTTTCAAAGGGTCATCGTTAGTATCAAATGAGAGATTGCATGTAGCAAATTTAGAACATTGGTAAGCACATAGCAACTGTTTAGCAAACATTACCTGTTTATTTTAATTACACTAAATATGGCATATGAGAATTAATATATTTTTTAGTTTAGTATACCAACCTTCTAAGTCACTTGTTATGCCTGGATTATATGTATATTACTAAATTATTTTCATGGATTTTATATGTTATTACATGATTTGCCTACTTAAGTACTCATGAATGAGGAAAAATATTAAGAAAATACTCTATTGCATAGGAAGTATCATTTAGTACAGTATGAGTCTTCATAACACAGGATTTATTAGGTCTTTCAATAAGAAGTACTAACTTCTGATGGCTAAGTATTATTTCTTTACCTTTTGTAAGCCACATTTAGTATACTTTTTCTACAAATTTGTCATTAAGTTAGCACTAAAAAAGGAGAAATTATTTTACTTTCTGAAATACAGTCCTTAAGTAATTACCTATGTACAGTTTTTTCAAAATAATTAAAGTTGAAAAGGAAAACTTCAGAGAAAATGTTTAAAGAAGAGTTCTAAATTGTACTCAGTAATCATAATATACAATGTTTACCCAAGATCACACGTGAAAAATATCAGCCCCAAACAGTACCTATTGTGTTAGACCAAGTAAAAACATCCAAAAGAGAATCTGCTAGTAACCATAACAACTGCGATTTTGAGGATGTCTTCAATAATTGAATGTAATACGTTGTGTTTCTTTAAAATAAATTAAATCGTAATCTCACAGCTTTTGTTAGTTTGCTCAGAATTCAGTTAATAAATTTAGAGAAGCTTCTCCCACCTGCAATTATTTCTAATTCTGAATTATAAAAACGATCATTTATTTTCATTCCCTGTGAACTTTTGCCAAAGTAGGGAAATATTGAAATCAGCTATTTACATAGATTTTAAAATTGGTGGGGAAGTATTTTTCTTAAGTAACTGTAAATTTTAGTGAAATATTTCTGTGCTTCCCCACAGAAATGAGATGCTGAATTTCCACCCTGGTATGCTTTTCATTCCCTCACAACAAAAGTTCCTTTATGACTCTTCTTTTTGAAACAGTTGGTTATTTACATATCAATGTTTTGGTTTGTGTGTACGTGCAGGTACAATTGTGCCTGTAGCTGTAACCCATGTTGTGTACACATCCAGAGTTACCCATTCATTATTTCCCTCAACAGTAAATTGAAGAGTCTGTCAGGCACAAACAATGATTATGACATGGTCTATGCACTAAAGCAACTCACTTTCTAATGAAGAGAAGACATTTACAATAAAAGTGTCATAGAATATTAAGTGATCAGTTTGTGGTGTTCCCTTTGGCACATTAGGGAATGTTTCACACAGATAATGATCATTCTGTTGGTTTTGGGAAAATGAGTTCTTATTTTACCTAAAGAAATAGCTGAAGGACATTCTAATAAGAAGGACTAGCTAAGACACAGAAGCAAAAAATATGTCTTTACAAATTTATTGCAAATTCAAAACAGCACCTAGTATTACTTCCTATAGGTTAGTTAATAGACGATTAGGAAAGGAAACTAAATGAAATATACATGGTATGGGAGCTGGAGATATAACTCAGTAGCAGAGCTCTTGCTAGGCCCTGAGTTTGAACCACAGCACTACAAATAATAACACTTGTAATGATTTAGACAGTTTATTTTTTTTTTAAGTAGTATACCATCTATCCTGGTTTTATTTTTTTTAAAAGGCTCACTATTAAAATGGACAAAAGTGCAGGCTTTGTGGTTCCTTTTTCTTTATTCCTGCTTAGATGGCATAGGAAAACATGCCCTTGATCCAAGCTCATTTTGTTACTGAAAACTCTAGCATGCAATTGGAAACATGGGACAAAATTAGATCCCCACTTTAAAAATGTACTAAGTAAATGATTCTAAAAAGCCACCTAACCAGCTTGAGGTTGAATGTTCATATATATATATACATACATATATATATGTATATATATATATATATATATGTATATGTATATATATGTATATACATTACAAGGAAAGTAGCGAAAATAATCTTATCTTTCTTAGAGACTCTGGGTAAATAGTATATTCATCTAATAAATCAGAACTGAAAGTTTTCTAATTCTTAAAACGCTATAGAAGTGAAGTGATAGCTGTTTTCATTTACATTATTCTTTATATGAGAACATTGAATCCCAAAATGTCTACAAACTGATATCAGTCTTTTTCCTATATTTCCCATATTCTGGAAATTCTGGAAAATTACTTCTCTATTTACCTATTTGCCCAACCCAGAAGCCTTATAAGGTTTGTTTATTGTCATTTTGTTGCATTTTACAGATTTTTGAGTAATTCCCAGCTCTTTTTTATTCTGTAAAAGTAAACTAGTTCCTCAAGTACATCTGCTTAATTTGTTCCAGTCAAGTGGAGTCCTTGCAATTCATTGGCTGTGTCATGCTCTTCCACGACTCTGAGTTCCTACAGCCTCTTCTTTCTGCAAGAAATAGCTTCTGCCAGGAAAGCTATACCATATCACTTGGCTACTATTTACTCTACCATTCTTGCCCAGGAAGCTTTCTCTGTTTCCAGTTGAGATGGACATATTTTCTGTTTTCTCTAACACATGAGTTATGACATTGCATTGGAATTGTTTTCTTAGTCGGTACAGTGAAATATTTGTAGACAGAGATTGTGTCTTCGATTTTACACAAATTCCTCTCTAGAATAGTACAAGTTATACACTAACTTCTAAAGAAATAGGAATCGAGTGAAATTAATTTTTTTGTTGTTGTTGTTGTTTCTATCTTAATTACCCCAGAAGATAAAAGATTAATGTTAATTCATTTTTAATTTAATTAAAGTATTTGTACATATTTTTCATGAATTGTCATTTTAAAAGACATTACAAGTAAATTATTCTGACTGCTCCAAAATTATTACAAATTAAGAATACTCATTCAGAAAATAGACAAGATAGCAGGATAATTAGGATAAAATTGTGAGAAAAATTGGGATTATAACTGAATTTAAATTCTGAACCTGGTAGATGATCTTATGTCTTCATTACTGTTCTTACTAACTATCAAATCCAAACTGATATTGAAATAATTGGCATGTTATTAGTAAGACATAGAAGTAAACTCCCCTAAAAGTTAGGCTTTTTCATTACTTGGACAACCCAGTCAACCTGTGATGTACTTCAGAGCAGAAAGCACAGGCTTTGTAAGAATGCCCAGGCTCATAGAAGAGCATGGCATTTCCGATGAATTACAGGAATTCATATGATAGGAAAAATTTAAACATAAGGATCCTTGCCTTATCCTTTACCAAATATCAGGGCAGAAATCATATCTCTCAAGAAAACAGGGCTCAGTGATAATGACATAATCAAATCACATGCAAATCACAGTGAGTCTGATGTCCAATTGTACTTTTTATTAAATAAACTTAAACTTAAGCTGTTATTATTGAAACAGGACTACACACTATTTTTTACAGTGAAAGTGTTTCCAGTCTGAAGCTTATCTCATAAAAGCTAAACTCCAGGTTTCTTATTGTACCACTCTAGGGAACTAGGAAAACAGCATGAACAAAAAGATGCTATTAAACTTCAGCTATTAAAATAGGTGACTTTAATTGTTTCATAAAAGATTCCACTTTTATCAGTTTCTTTGCTTATAAAATGACATACACATATTATAATCTAAATGCTATCCCAAAATGATAACATCTACAGTAATTTACTACCTTATTGTTTTAATTGACACTTTTAATAGATGGGTTTATGGTGATGATAACTTAAGGCTGCTTTCAGTTTATGGGATAATAACTGTATCCTGGGAGAAATAAAACCTAAAGCTAGATTCGACTGCATTCACTGGGCTAGGATATAGTTTTTGCTTTGTAAACAGGAAATTCCACAAGACCGATATATCAGACAGGTAATGTTTCTTTCATTAGAAAGTGAAGCAATTTCATACCTTTGAAAGGTATGAAATTAGAAGTTAAGCCAGTCATAGTGATTTAAAATATATATATATATACGTGGTTGGACAGTCAAAAATAAAGCTTCAGACAAAATAACAAGAAGATTAAAATTGGATGTAGTTAAATTTAGTTCATCTTGCCATTATTTCCTGCAATATCTCTAGAAACAGACTGTCATTTGACTCTATATTAGTTAAAGCTCTTGAACTTTCTGTTACTATGGTAAAGAAAATAATGAAAAGATAACAAAATTATTACATAATTGAATACCAAAAAGTTAAAATATGCCCATTACCTTGGAAACAGAATGCATTCACAGTGCAAATCTTCTCCTATCAGGTATTGCTTTCACCCAAATTACTGTTTAAAATTACGCTCTAAATTTTATTATAACATGATAACTATGACAATTAAAAACATAAAGAACCAAAAACAGCATTTTACTATATTATAAAGAAGCCAAATGTAATTGTTGCTTACGTCATAATATGTGCATTTGTTTGATAAAACATATTGTGAACTTAATTTAAACAGAAGAACATTAAGAGCACTACAGTTATCCTAATACTTGCTACTTTGAAAATATCCTATTTTAAAACATGAAACTTTCTCTAAATTTGCTACTTATAACAATTGTATTGGGTGCCTGAACTTCTCCAATGATTACTTTGGAGCATGTAATCATTCTAAATTATAGTACAAAAATTGGAAAGTCATGCATTTTTTTACCTACCAACAACATAATTGATAGGGAAAGATAATGGTCATAATCTGTAGAACCATATCCCAGACAGATTTGACACCTTAATGTGTGTTCACCCCTCATCTGAAATCCCCAGCCCACTGTCATTGATCCTTGCAATGATTTTTTCCCATCCTTACACTGAAACTAAACGAAACATATCTCCACCATGAACCTTTCCCATTATTCCCTCTTTACTTTTCCTCTTGAATGCATCTGATGATGCACCTGGTCCAGGATACTCCTATGGCTCCTGCTACAAACTGGTGCAGTAATTACATTGTTCGTATCTGTGATCCCTATAGACACTGCAAAACATGAATGGATACTGTAATTTTTCTTTGCTTTTTCTCCCAGATATAAAGGCATTAAAATCAGTGAAACCTATGTGTTTTGTTCATTTCCACAATTGCTACATTAATCAGTTAGAAGGTAATTGTATTTAAAACTTTAAAAGTAGTTGTAAAGTATATTCATTTTAGTTTATTCCTTTCACTGCTATTGTCATATTGCTGTTCATGGTTTCTGAGTCAGAATTTCTACACATTCATGTATGACATCAAATTTTCATGCTAATAACCCACAGAACTAGATTGAACACAATAAATGCAATCCACAATCTTAATCTTTAATATTTTTAACAATAGTTACAAACCCAGCTCGAGGATCTAAAGACAGGTCCCTGGGAAACTTCAGTCTTTTGCTAACGAGTATAGTAGGGTACAAGCCATTGAGTTTAGATACTTCAATTATCCTTTTTTCTGTGTCAGACCAATACAGGTTTTTTCCAATCCAATCGACAGCAAGTGCATTGGGGACAGCTGTGTTATGCACTACCTAACAAAATAAGAATTTAAAAAGTTAACAGTGTAAATGCCTACAATAAGAACTGAGTGATGTTTTCTTGATTAAAGCAACATATAGAATTCTATTTAAATGTTAGAAGTGGAATTTAGATAATAGAGAACAATTGACCAAAATATAGTTATTTGTTTGAGAGAAATTATGTAATACATAATTAGACCTCTATAAATTATATACGGGTTTAAGAAAAAAATAGATCCAACTTAAAATGGTGTTTGATAGATGCACTTTTGTTTATCACATTTTAATTAGGCTTTATCTACTCAACTCTTAAAGTTTGTGACAAAATTCTATCACACACGCATCCAAACACTTATTGCTGTTACTTGTGTGTAACAGGCCCTGGCATGATTTCAGTGGCACTCACTGCTCTCTCAACTTGCTCTCACCTTATTAAAATGACTACAAGAGATGTGTATGCTAAGTATTTTGAAACTACGCAAAGGGAAGTAAAAATATACTTACTCAGATGTTTTGAATCCGAACTTATGACATACCAAATATATTAAAGATATCGGTTCTATGTGTAAAATATGATACATTGACCTTATAAAATAGTCAATCATTCTTGGTTGACAGGTATTTCTGAGTTCTCAGTGCTTTTAGGACTATGTTAAAGAAACAATAGAAACTTGAAGCTGCACAGAAGCTAATAGTTATATAATCAGAGACATGAAAACACTAGTTAAATTTTGGAGTTAACCTTTTCCCCAGTGCACTAAAAATAAAGATGCAAAGAAAAGTAACAATGAGAAAATTTGCAACAATTAATATTGATCTACTGCGTTGACACATTTCGTTCTTTTTTTTCAGATTCCAAACAGCTGATCATTCAACTTATTATCAGTGAATTTGTAAGACCATGAGTAGATAGAAGCATTTTTTCTAAATTTATGGTATGGCATGATATATAATAAAAATGGAATGAGAGACGCAAGGCACTAGAGACAATGTGCTTTAAAAGATATCTTCAAAAATATAAAGGTCACTAAAGTTTTGATGGCCTATAATAAAATAAAAGATCAATTTAAATAACATAGCTTTTACACTTTTTATATAAATTCTCAAAAATTTAGTTACAAATAAAATGGACCTGTTTATTAGTTCTGTCTAGCCATTGGATCTACTAAAATTAGCCTGCTATTACTGTGCAATATTTCATTGCACAGTGTTTTATTAGATGTTTGTGCTGAATCAGCTGAATCTATGTCGTATATAAATGCAATTTAAGACTTTATTATTATTTTGAAAATTTTTGCTTCCACCAAAAATTTCTGCGATATTACAAATGACAACAAAAAGTTAAAAATAATTAATCAGTTTCACCTACTTGAATTTAATTCTTTTTTTTCTTTTTTGGCAGTACTGGGGCTTGAACTCTGGATCTCACATTTTGTAGGCAGGTACTCCACTATTAAAGCCACTTCACAAGCCCTCGTCTACATAAATTTGAAGCTTCTTTATGATATATTATATTGCATTTATGCAGTACAAACATTTCTTATTTTAAAGCTCAGGATAACATAAAAGTACCTCATTTCTAAATGTAGTTAATTGTGAAATTGTCTAATCAGAATCTTCATGATTTTATACAAGCACATTCAATTATTACCAGCTGGAGTAACTTAACTTTAACAGTGCTATAATTTCAATTTACACTAACATTTAATTTCTTTTTGAAAAAGAGAAATGTTTATTTAATCACCATCCTTTTCTACATCCTCCCACCCAACTCTAACAAACCATTCTTTTCAATTGCAAATTCTCAGACTCAACTTTCCATTTTATTTAAATCAACACAATTGAATCTCAGTCACTAATACTCTAAGCTGAAGGCATCCATCACATTTTCTAGAGTTATAATTAAGGTTCTAAGTTGTATTAACTCAATTTGATATTTTATCTTACTGAAAATAATAATATTGTAATAAATAATAAGGATAAAAACGATTTCATATTAAAGTCCTTATGAACTTACTTAGAGCTAATCTGAAATTCAAACCAAGCTAATGAATCCTATAAGCAATGCCATTCTCATCAAATAACATTTTCTACTCCATTCAATCATAGTAATAAAGTATTCAATAATCACTTCACTGTAACAGCTGGTTACCTTAATGTCACTTCCATTTAAACACATTCTATTTATGAGACTTCCATTGGGTCTGCTAGAATCAATCCAATAGATGAATTCTTCTCTGTAATCAAAGTCGATAGCAATGACATTGTTTAAACCCTAAAAATAAAAAGAATATGATTTCTTTAACAGTTTGAAAAAAAACTAAGAGCAAAAGCTCCTTTAAAAGAAAAGTTATCACCTTAGTTTAATTAAATAGGAGTTTATAACCTGCTCTATGGAGGAACAAGAAAAGAGCACTCATCTAAATGAGAAAGGTGGAAGACTCCTGATGAATTCGATGAGCCCTGGATAGGTATCTTGTAAGTCAGAAAGAAAGCTCTGAAATTTTACTTTCCCCCAAATCTCTTGTCCCAATTATATGAATTTTTCCTCTCCTCATACTTGAAATATTCTCTGAACCAATGCAGTGTCATATTAAAATTTAGAAGTTAGAACATTGAGTATTTGACCAAGGAGGGACATCTTTTTGCTCCACATGGTGGAAATGTGAGGAATGCCACCCTTCAGACATATGCATTTTGTATGCATTTTGTAACAAATCATGAAATTTAGCTGCTGGGTTTCTGAATTTTACACCTTCTTGGTTTAGCTTATCTGCTATTTTATTTGAAGATTGTAAGATTGTATTTCCTGTATCTGGAAATCTCCTTAGCTATGAAATGTTCTGCACAACAAAAGAAATGGTCTCTAAACTGAAGAGACCAACCACAGAGTGGGAGAAAATATTTGCCAGCTATACATTAGACAAGGGACTGATAACCAGAATATACAGGGAACTTAAAAAACTAAATTCTACCAAAACTAATGAACCAATAAAGAAATGGGCAACTAAACTAAAAATCAAATCACCTAAAAAACTAGATAGCATTTTTTGCCCTCAACGCAGAGAAACTAAGGCAGATACTTTAAAGCAACTGAGGCCAATAAGAAAAGGGGACCAGGAACTAGAGAAAAGTTTAGTTCTACAAGAATTAACTTAGAAGGTAACACACATGTATAGGAAGTCAATGTGCATCAACTCTCTGTATAGCTATCCTTATCTCAACTAGCAAAAACCTTTGGTCCATCCTATTATTGCTTATACTCTCTCTTCAACAAAATTAGAGATAAGGGCAAATTAGTTTCTGCCGGGTAGCGAGGGGTAAGGGGGGGTAACGGAGGGGAGGGAGTGGGAGGGCACAGGAGGAGGTGGGGGGAAGGGGGGAGAAATGACCCAAGCATTGTATGCATATACGAATTAAAAACAAAAAAAGAGAGGCTAAGGTAGTAGGGTCATGAGTTTGAGGTCAACCTAGAATACATAGTAAATAAATAAACAAATAAATCAGCGTTTTAATCTGAAGATATTCTACAGAATAACAATTTTGATAACCACTAGCTCTGGTCAATAAAGAATATAACTAAACTCAAAAAATAAAAACTAAAAAGAACTTTCTCAAAAGAAGAAATTCAAATAGCCAAAAAACACATGAAAAAATGCTCACCATCTCTAGTCATGAAGGATATGCAAATCAAAACCACACTAAGATTCCACCTCACCCCTGTTAGAATAGCCATCATCAAAAACACTACCAACATGTGTTGTTGATGATGTGGGGAAAAAGGATCCCTCATACACTGCTAGTGCGAATGCAAGCTAGTACAACCACTCTGGAAAAAAATTTGGAGGCTTCTTTTTTTTTTTTTTTTTAATGTGATTCCAACATTTTTTTTTTCATTTTTCTTTTATTATTCATATGTGCATACAAGGCTTGGTTCACTTCTCCCCCCTGCCCCCACCCCCTCCCTTACCACCCACTCCGCCCCCTCCCTCTTCCCCCCCAATATCCAGCAGAAACTATTTTGCCCTTATTTCTAATTTTGTTGTAGAGAGAGTATAAGCAATAATAGGAAGGAACAAGGGGTTTTGCTGGTTGAGATAAGGATAGCTATACAGGGAGTTGACTCACATTGATTTCCTGTGCATGGGTGTTACCTTCTAGGTTAATTCTTTTTGATCTAACCTTTTCTCTAGTACCTGTTCCCCTTTTCCTATTGGCCTCAGTTGCTTTAAGGTATCTGATTTAGTTTCTCTGCATTAAGGGCAACAAATGCTAGCTAGTTTTTTAGGTGTCTTACCTATCCTCACCCCTTCCTTGTGTGCTCTCGCTTTCATCATGTGCTCATAGTCCAATCTCCTTGTTGTGTTTGCCCTTGATCTAATGTCCACATATGAGGGAGAACATACGATTTTTGGTCTTTTGGGCCAGGCTAACCTCACTCAGAATGATGTTCTCCAATTCCATCCATTTACCAGCGAATGATAACATTTCGTTCTCCTTCATGGCTGCATAAAATTCCATTGTGTATAGATACCACATTTTCTTAATCCATTCGTCAGTGGTGGGGCATCTTAGCTGTTTCCATAACTTGGCTATTGTGAATAGTGCCGCAATAAACATGGATGTGCAGGTGCCTCTGGAGTAACAGTCTTTTGGGTATATCCCCAAGAGTGGTATTGCTGGATCAAATGGTAGATCGATGTCCAGCTTTTTAAGTTGGAGGCTTCTTAAAAATATAAACATAGACCCACCATATGATCCAGCAATCCCACTGTTGCCCCCCACTCCAGGGGAACTAATACAGAAACCTTAAAGCAACAGAGGTTAACATGAGAAAGGGATCAGGAACCAGTGTAAAGATTACTTAGAGATGAATCAACACGGCTTGTAACACATTTATACATGAAAGCAATGCTAGGAATCTTTTTGTATAGCTATCCTTAACTCAATTAGCAAAAACACTTTGTCTTCCTTATCATGTTTATGTCTTTTCTTCAACAAAATTAGAGATAAGGGCAGAACAGATTCCAACTGGCAGTGAGAGGGGGAGCAGGGGGAGGGTGGGGGAGGGGGGAAAGGGGGAGAAATGACCCAAATAATGTATGCACATGTGAATAAATGAATAATAATAATAATAATTTATTAGAAGTTGGGACTGAGAGAGGAGGAGAAGAAGGAATGAAAGATAGTGAATAGTAATGAAAGTTTAGTTCCTGTGTAGGAACAAAACACACTGAAAACTGTCAAATAACACAGGATGGGAGAAAAGGGTGAGGAAGTACAATGGAGGAAGTACTGACTTAAGTACAGTGCATGTACAGATACAATACCAAGACCAAAATCTATCTGAACAAGGAACAGACGCCTAAACAATGAAGGACAAGAATAAAAACAGGTAGAGCTAAAGCGAGGTTCCCAACAGGAGTGTGAGGGTATAAAAAGAAAATAAAGTCTGGTCCTGGTGGCTCACACTTATATAATCCTAGCTACTCATGAGGTAGAGATCAGGAAGATCATGGTTCAAAGCTAGCCAGGGTAAATAGTTCACAAGACTGTATCTTGAGTAAAACCAGCAAAACAAAGCCTGGTGGAGTAGCTTAAGATGTAGGCCCTGAGTTCAAATCCCAGGGCTGCAAAAAAAATAAAGAAAGAAAGAAGATGAATATGGTTAGTGTACTTTCAAGAATAAATACAGCATATGTATACATACATGGAAATATCACAAGGAAACTCCCTATGTAGCTACCTCTATCTCAAGCTAAAATGTCATGTTTTTCTTTTTATCTTTTCTCTTTTTCCTCCTACAAAATTGGAGAACAGGAGGGCAGAATAATTCCTGCCCAGGGGGGGAGGGCCAGTATGAGTGAGAGGGGTTGGAGAAAGGGGTAAGAGGGTGAATACACTGCAGTAAAATGTGTACAAATGTAAAAAAGAGAATGAATATAGAATAATTAAACCTACTGATATTACCATAAGAAGGGAACTAACACAAGTAAGAGAAAAATGGATGGAATGAACCAATTTGGCATATAATATACATATACATGGAAATGTCATAATGATACTACCTGTGTAACTATCTTAAACAAAAATGTCTTTGTTTTTTCAAAAATGAAGGACAGGAAGGTAAAACAGGTCCTGTCTCGGTGTTGGTACAGGTGGGAGGTATGAAGAATGTAAGGAAAGGATGAAGATGGGTGAATATGGTAGACATATTACATACTTACATATGAAAATGGAAAAATAAGATCTGTTGAAATTATCTAAGAAGGGGGAGAGAATAAATAAGAATGATGGAGGGAGTGAATTTGAGTAAGATATAGAGTAGGCAATTTTGTAAATATAATGATATACCCCAAGCACAATAATATGATAATAAAACTAAAATAAAATTTTAAAAGTTAGTTTAATTCTGATTTATTGTTAGAGCTTATATATTTACAACATACTTAAACTCAAGAAAACAGGTAAGAATTTCAATTAGTTAATTTTAATGCCAGAGCAGTTTGTTAATAAAAAAAAAGTCTAATTAATTAGAAAGTAATTAGTAGTATACACACTTGGCAAAGTTCCAAGAGATCTTTGTCATGTTTTTACATCTATGTACAGCCTGTTTACATTAATATTTACCTTAAGATTGGTAAGACTCAAACGATAAAAGAATCATAGTCTTATGAGTAAGGATTATCGCCTTCAGAGAAAGGAGGTGTTTGCTGTGCTTTGGAATAGGGACAAAATATAGGAAGGATGGAAATTCCCATGTCTGAGTTCAGTCCCCATGTTTATTATCAAAATTCAGAATTTGAAAATAATGCTGCCTTAGATTTATATGCCCCTGTATAAAATTTGGTCCAGGACTAAATGATTACTGCTCATATTTGATTTCCTTCCAAGGATCTCCAAGACTAAAGGTCTCTGGTATGTAAAAATTAGTCAAGGAAAGTGGTGGGAACTATTCATTTTTCATTTTTTCTTTCTTATTCTATCATGATGTAATAATGGTGTTAAAGTCACAAGTTCAAATCTTATGCATAATTTTATATGACTTAACATCAGTGATCTTTTTAATGCATCTCCAGATTATAAAGATATCCTGAAATAGCCCAACACTCAAAATTGCATGCTATTGGTCATAAACAAGACATAAAAGGTAGTAAACATGATTCAGTGCAAATCCTTCAGTAAGCTCACAAATATAAATTCAAATACACTTCTTACTGACAACATTAGTAATGAAGAATAGTGATTATAAATGCTAAAAAGTCAACTAGCTTT